TTCTGGCTGTGTAACTCACGCGGTCTTGGTGAAGATACCAAAATCATAATTGGCTGCAAAAGTTTGGCTACAATAAATGTACAAAGCCCAGGGTCAAGAGAGGACAGAGTCCCAAACCTTGCTGCAGAGACACACGTGAAATGCCAGTAAAGCCTTTGCAATGTGGGCTCATTTGCCTCTGACTTTGTACCCAGCAGAGAACGACCCGGAACACTGGTTTCCATGCCACGTGCTGCTGTGGAATAAACACAAACTGCGTGGCATCATGAAGCAGAGGGGAGCCCCCTCATGCTGGGGGCTTGTGAAGGATGATTTAAAATATTTACACAGACCTGGTGGGCAGGGCTTCCTACTCTGCTCTGGGGCTCTGGGTGCTGCATGCAGGTCCCCAGGAGCTCGTGGCCCAGGGCAGGCAGCCCAGCCTGTCCACTCCACAAACCATCTGGTTTGGCTGTGCACAAAGAACGCAGCCTCTACCCAGAGACAAACGACCCTACGAGCTGCCTTCTCACAGAGCGCTGGGAAGCGCACAGCTCGGCGTCTGAAGCAGGACGAGCTGTCCTTACCCTGTTTTAACTTTTGTCTTATTGAGGTTGAAGGATAAGAAAAGAATAGTGGTGAAAAAGAGTCTGAGTAAAAGAAAAGGGAAAAATAAAGCAAAGGAACCAAATTATCTGTAAAGCAGTATCGCTAGAAACATTCTCTCTGTATTATTATATATGCACTGCTAAAAATCATCATTGCTTGGATACAATCTAATAATAAATTAAGTTCTGAAACTTTTTTTTGAGACAGTATCTCCTTGTCACCCTGGGTGGAGTGCCATGGTATCATCTTAGCTCACAGCAACCTCAAACTCCTAAGGTTAAAACATTCTCTTGCCTCAGGTTTTTCTATGTTTAGTAGAGATGGGGTCTTGCTCTGGCTCAAGCTGGTCTCGGACTCCTGAGTTCAGGCAATCTACCTGCCTTGGCCTCCCAGTAGAGTGCTGGGATTACAGGGGTGAGCTACCATGCCTGGCCTTTAAATGTTTGAAATTTTTGAAGGAAAAAAAATAATTTTAAATGCACTTGGGATACTGGCAATTCTAATATACAGTACTGGGAATACATTATTTTGTTGAGATAGAGGCTGGTAGAGTGCTAGAACATCACAGCTCACAGCCACCTTTAATACCTAGGCAAGCGATTCTCTTGCCTTAGCCTCCCTAGCAGCTGGGACTCTAGGCACCATAACACCTAGGCTAGTTTTTCTATTTTTAGTAGAAATGGGGTCTCATTGTTGCTCAGGCTGGTCTGAGCTCAAGCTGGGATGAACAGGCATGAGCCACTATGCTGGGCCTAGGAAAACATTTCTGTAAATGTATTTCCTTCATAAAGTACAGAATTGACTCCCTGATTCTCTGTCATGATCATGGCTTACTCAGAGCCTTACTGGGCCCACTTTAACAGACACACAATGAACTAGGCAAGAGCTGAAACTGGGAGGTCAGGTCAGAGTACAAGAAGCCACCCACCCTCACAGGTGGCTGCTTCTACCTCTCCTGAGGGCTGAGGTGCAAGAGAGCTAGGGATGTGTGTCCTCAACAGCCTGTACTGTGCGGTCCCTCCATAACAGAACAGAAACTGCCTTTCTTCCAGCTAACTCTGCCCTCTCTGAGCCCATCCCTCCTACCCCTCTCTCCCCTCACGCCTACAGACATCTCTGCCAGCCCAAGGTGGGAGAGAAGGCCTAGGGCTGTTGGGGGCCTCAGCCACTGTGTGTGGGTGTGCCAGACGGCTCTGCAGCCCCTGGGCAGGGGGAGAGAAGAAAAACCAGCCCTGCTTCCCCTTTAGGAACACCCACCTGGCAAGGTGGCCAGCTGCCACAGACTCCTCCAGAGTCAGAGCGCAGCAGGCTGGCAAGGGCAAAGCCAGGCACAGAGGCCAGAGAAGGCACCCCTGTGTGCACAAGGCCCCCCGGGAATGGGCCCCATGTTTCCCAGGCTGGGGAGAAGGGCTGTGCAGGAAGAGAGCCACAGCCTGGGGGGCAGAGCCCAATATCCTACAGCACAGACTGGAGGGGGTCCCCAACACCCAGCAGTGCAGCCTGGAGAGGGGGCCCCAACACCCAGCAGCGCAGCCTGGAGAGGGGGCCCCAACACTCAGCAGTGCAGCCTGTAGAGGGGGGCCCAACAGCGCAGACTGGAGGGGGTCCCCAACACACAGCAGTGCAGTCTCGAGAGGGGGCCCTAACACCCAGCAGCGCAGCCTGGAGGGGGGGCCCAACACCCAACAGTGCAGACTGGAGGGGGTCCCCAACACACAGCAGTGCAGCCTACCTGCCCCGAGGCTGCTGGCCAGGTGGGGAGAAGGAAGGCTCAGCTAACAGATGGCCCCTCGAGCACAGATGACTTCATTTTCTTTTGCTGCATGTAGCTTTTCCCCATTTTGTTTTTCTGTGTTGAGGGAGAGGAAGGGTACCTTTGGGCAGGCAGAGCTCACAAGCTTAGGCTTGAAGACGCTTATTTAGCAAGCCAGGCTCCCAGGGCTGAGCAGCCATCTCAGTAACCTCCCTGAGCAACTTGCTGGGTTGCGTGCTGCAGGGCAGCGGTAACTACAGTGGGATCGATGGGTGTGGAAACACAGGGACTTCAGTGTCACAGCTTCCAGCCAGCCAGCCAGCGACAGCGCCAGTGTCTAGATCCAGTGACAGAGACCACACGGGGCATTAAGATGCTTGAAGACAAGGATGGCTCAGTGTCTGCGATGCACAGCCACCAGTAACTGGTCACGGGTGTGCTTACGCTCTCCCTGATGCTGGGACTCTGATGAAAACATTCTCAAAAGAAAGCATCAAAAGGCATCAAGGGGACATTTCAGAGCTTGCTTAGAACTTATTCTGTATTTTGTGCCTCCTATTTTTTTATTACCACCATTTTCTGCCTGAGGTCTTTACAGTTAATATGAGTCTTCAAGACCAACCTTCCAGATGCTTATGGGAGCTTAGAAAGAGTTACGAAAAGAGCGAAAAACAAAAATTAAAAAGCCAACCACTAGTGGTAGTGAAGGCTGAACAGCATGGTCACCAGACTCCGGGAAGTACTTCCCAGTGAGCAGCTGCAGACTCCGGGAAGTACTTCTCAGTGAGCAGCTGCAGACTAGGAATCCCAGCTGTCCACCTGAATCTGTGTCAGCAGCTACTCTCCCTGTCTTGTTTTTTTTGACTAGGGAAATCTGTACTGCTTACCAAACCGAGAAAGTGAATAAAGTTGTCCTTTTTATTTGCTAAAAATTACAAAAGATTCAATAACTGAAATAAAATGATCTTAAGTACTTCAGTATGAATCGTTCTATTTACATAAGATCAGTACTCATGTTACTTGTTAGCTCCCAAATATTTTCTCTATAATCAATAAAATGCATGGAATTTGAAAGGTTTAGTAACAAAAGTGACATGTGATTTCCAGAAGGTATGAAGAACTCTGGGCTTGTGAACAGAACCACTATTTCCCCATAAACTGGTCTCTTAACCTTTGCAGTCTATATTACAAGTTTCTTCTCCAAGTGAGAATGACATGGACGACTGAGGATGACTTTTTCTTCCTCTCAGTGGACCGTCTTCCTGAATTCTCAGTCACCCAAAGACTACTCTCAGGTTCATGACTCTGCAGTCATGATGAATTTTTGGCTATGATTTTTCTTATAATTTCATACTTATTTAACTAAACTTGTTGCAGAGACATATTCTGAGAGAGAGAGAGAAAATAAACAATTTGCTTAAGTATAAATCCAGGGTGAGAATGGTTTTGAGATGGAGAATTTTGTGGGGCTCAAGACCAGCTTCAGCTTTTCCTGAGGACTGTATGTTATGGGGTCCCCTGAGGTGTCTGGACCAGGGTAACAGTCTTCTTTGTTCAGAGCAATGACTGCTGATCTTAGATTTGTGACACCCTGTGTATCTCCAGTATCTCCTGAGGTATTGTAAAATTCTCTCCATAAAATGACAAGTAAAATAACTTAAATTCATTAGACAAATATGCCAAACATGTTTAGAGCAAGGGCGAGGGCACAGGCATTAAATCAACTTATGAACAGATAAAGTAAATATAGGAAATTAAACAAGATGAGATGGTCTTTGTGTGGTTTTGCAGTTGGGGAAGAGGGCAGTTACCTGGGACACCATTTTAGTGGAAAACCCTTTCAATTTTATTTACTAATGACTGAATCGCCCTGCCTGGCACCAGAAACCCAGCTTGCGGCTCCTTCCTGCCTACTCGCACTAGACACTGGCACCCTAGATCTGGCATCAAACCTCTCTGCACACAAAGATCTCTTGGAACAAACACATACGGACCACAGACATTGGCAGCCGGACATGGCTGAATTCATCAGCTGTTCCCTCAGCTTAGCTCTGCCTTCAACTGAGACCTTGAGACTGCAGGGGAGTTACACATCATAGCCTGCAGTCCGCAATTCCCAAGCTCCTGGTCACCAAGAGGCTGGCAACTAGACCACCCCTGAGGGCTCACAGCGGGAAGCTGGATAACTGCCTAATAATACTTAACCATAGCTTCCAAGTCACCAGTGAAACGTCTCCTGAAGGGTCACTCTGCCTCAGGCTTCACCCCTTCTTCACTCAGAACACCCACTTCTGTTATCTGATAAATCTGAACCTAGATTTCTTCAAGAAGAGTCAGACATCTGCACTCACAGAAGAGATCACTGAAAAAAACACATTTCCCACTGGAACAGGCCTGCCTTTTCCCTGGAGAACTCAATTTCACTGTTTGCTTTTTATTCTTTATATCACTGCCTATTTAAATTGAGAGCCACATTTTACATTCCAGAGAGAAATTCCTTACTAAATAATTTTTATTTAACCCATTAAGATCTTGGTTAATTGCTTTCCAAGAAGACAAAAAAGTTACTTGTAAGCCTCTTATACATAATTCAAAAGTTATCTGAAGAGTCAAACACCCAGGAGTTGTGAGCAGGGAGAGGAAAGCGTCGGGTACTTGCCTTATTTGTGGCAGTAGCACTGGATCCGGGGACCACAGGCACGTTTGTCACTTGCACCGAAAGATAATTATTATCTATGAGGGGCCAGGCCCCTTCCACTTTGCACGTCTGGAAGTGATCCTTGAAAGTCCTAAGGTGAGGGTCTCCAAACAAGCCACAAAAAAGGTAGTTGGGAGGATCCTGGTCCCCTCCCCTGTGTTCTCTGATGCCTGCCAGGCTGTGATAGTTACAAGGATCATGGGTCACTTCAGGGTTTGTAGAAGATGTGGGTCCGTCCTTGGAACAATTCCTCTGGCTCATGAGGTCACTGATGCCCAGCACAGCCGAGTGGTACACTAGGTTCCCGCGGCAGGCTTTCGAAGTTCGTTGGGTGCAGCCAGCATAGGCTCGTAGGGCCTTGCAAAACTCAGAGTCAAAGCCCTCAGTGGCAGAGTTCAGGTGTGAGGTCAGGGACACGAAGTCGGTGGTGCATTTCTGAATTCGGCACTGGGTCGGCTGTTGGCAGTCACCTGTGGGAAGGGTGGTAAGACCAAACATTTGAAAATGCTTCAAAATACCCAGAGCTACGTGTGGAAATGACATTCTCCCCTGGGAACTATTTGTTCTACATTCTAGACTCCTATTTTAAGAAACGTTCAGAAATAGGGCTGCCCTGTGCTCCCCAGCTCTCAAATTAAGCACTGGGAAGAAGTCTGCACACAGTGAGCGAAGGTAAAACTTGAACGCACAGGCACTGGGCACGAGCCTGCTGTCAGTCCAGTGCTTGAAGTTGAAATGGCAAGGGAATCATAAAAAAAAATTTTATCAATGTAGCCAATTAGTCACAGATTTTTGAGAAAGATTCTTCTACTCCAGCCAAAGACATGAAGTTTGTTTTGATTTTGAAAACTGCATGAGTAATTTGCTGCCGAAAGCATTGTAAAAGCAAAACCATGATTAGTCTCCACACCTTAGGAAGGGGTAAAATCCCAAATTATAGTATGATTAGTTAAAACACCTTCACCTAACTTACTTGTATAGCTACCAGGTAAGAAATTAAAAAAAAAAATCCAAGTACTAACTCATTCTACTTTTCTTGAGGCATTTTTGCCAACAAATTGTAAGTGACACAATTTCCTAGTTTCTATGAAATGTAAATGTCCTTTTTAAAAATATAAAGTGATTCATTTGACCAGGCTACATCTTTCCCTTAACATTCATCTCTGTTATACTGGGTAGCAGAGCACGGGTGAGACGTAACTGAGAGGCCAGGCCACGACCTTGAGAGTTTGCTGCTGAGACAGATGGTCCCAGTCATGGATTTGTTTTTTTTTTTAGAAAAAGAACCAGAGAACTATGAAGCACAGGATTCTAAGAATACACATAACTACTTTTCTCCTAAAAGCGACAATTCACACAAACGTAATGATTTAACAATGCCACAATGAAGTATGAAAATTCAAGCATGACTGCCCTATATTTGAAAAAACTCAATTTCCAAATGATGTTTTGCCCCCAGCTTCTCCAAAAAAACCTTATAAAACCTCTTAAAGCACAAAAAACACAAACAAGAACTGTTAACAGTAAGTCAGCCACTGCTCTATCAGTTTGATATCCTGTTCCACAAAGAGGAAATGACAGACCTGTTACTTTTATCATCAACCTCAGACTCTGCATCAAAGAACTGGGACACTTATTTGTGCCACTTGAAATTTTTCATAGGTCTTTAAGCTACGAAGAAGCCTCTTCATCTCTTCACCTGTCAGGCTTCTCATCTGAGAAATGAATTTGTTTTAAGATAAACTTTGTGATCCTCTCCTGGCATAAGATACCTTATGTACAAGATAAAGGGAAAAATTCAATGCAATAGATTATTAGTGAATATATATTAGTTAAAGATGGAGATACAATAAACTTAAGGATAACATTAAAATTGAGCACTTCATTGACAAAAACTTAAAATTGACCTTAGAAAACTATATTAATATGTTCAGTAGTAAAAGTCTTCTAAATCTGAATGAAGTGGTCTATAATCTCTATTTCTGGGTTTACTCAGGAGAAAAGGATGGGAGCAGATGACCTCTGAGGACTGTCACCATTTTTAAATTTCAAACATCAAAGAAGGAAATATTATAGTCTAGGCTTGGTATTCACTTTAAACCAAGAGAGCAGATTAACTTATTTTAATATTTTGGAGCTATGGATTTACAACAATCACCAAATCACTTTAAAAAAATCACAAACACGGGCGGCACCTGTGGCACAGTGAGTGGGCTGCTGGCCCCATATACTGAGGGTGGCAGGATTGAGCCTGGCCCCAGCCAAACTGCAACCAAAAACAAAATAGCCGGGCATTCTGGTGGGCGCCTGAAGTCCCAGCTACTTGGAAGTCTGAGGCAAGAGAATCGCCTAAGCCCAAGAGCTGGAGGTTGCTGTGATCTGTGACGCCACAACACTCTATGGAGGGCAACAAAGTGAGACTCTGTCTCTTAAAAAATAAAAAATCACAAACACATCTTCATGTGCTCAATCTACTTTGGTTTGCTCAGGCCAAATCTGATGAAAGCAGCTCTGATATTTAAAGAATTCCTCTATCCAAAGCAGTGCAAGTCATTTTCAGCTATTTTTACTAAAAACATAACAACCAAAGCAAAACAGAGATTAACCAACCAGGACTCTAAAAGGTATTAAGACCATTTTACAGATGGGAAAAATCAAGGCAACGCCCCAGGGGAGCCTTCACAGCTAGTATTAAGCCAGGGTTGGTGCCTTTTCCCTTACAACAATATCTGATGGCTGGAAAAAAAGACAAGTAACTCTTATATTATTTTTCTTTTCAAGCCAGATTCACGGCAAGCAGAAAGCAAAGAAATAAAGTGAGGGCCAGAAGCAGCTACCTTAGACTACAGATGAGCCACAGCCCAGAGCCTCCCACTAACCTGCAGTGGCTACTTGTTCTTTTTATGGTCTATAAAATCTATCTGAGTATACGTTTATTTATAATTATTTCAAATACTCATAAACTAACGAAAGTAAGAACAATATGGAAATGCAGATGGAACTGTTTAGAAGGGAAGTAAAGTGTAGATTCTCTGCCCCTTTCTGCACTTCCTCCCCCCCCCCCCAGCCTTTCCCTTTGTCAGACTAGGCAGGCACTGATTACTTTGAGAATTTACACAAAAAGCAGAACTCCTTGGGTTCCTCTGCTTTGGACGAGGTTTCTAACCGCCTTTCGCCATAGAGAAGGGAGGGAGGAGGGCTAAGGAGAGAGAAAAGCATGTTTGGGTCAGCGTTTTACAGCCCCATAGCAGGCTCCCGCATAATGACTAATTTGTAGCATACACCCAGAAATAGCCAGGCTTCATGAATTTATAATGGTAACGCACACTTTGCCTGTTACAGGCGGTAAAGTAAACCTCCTGTCAAGATGCCAAGACAACGTAGAGGGGAAATAATCTTCAGGGCGCATCCAGGAAGGCCAGGAAGCACATGCCTAAGCCCCTGCCCGCCAGACCTCCACTCAGGGCTGCCTTGCAACACAAACCCAACTGACAGCACTCTTCATTTCCCAAGAGTAGAATTTAAAACTCTACAATTAGCAATGTCTCTGTTTTTAGACCAGATCATCAGGGAATGGTGTGACAATATTTTCATGCCAGTCATTGAAAATGGTTAAAGGTTACAGAGTCTAGAGCTTTCCTTTCATTTTTTAATGGATCAGACATAAAGGCCGCACCATTCAAGACAATTCCCTTAATGCTGGTAACGCATGTGTGAATGTATAGTACAATCACCACTTAGTAATAAAAAACACGAGATGTGCTGAGGCTGAATTAGTGGAATGCAGAGCTCTAAGGGGTGCTGAGGCCAAAAATATGGGTCCAGACAGAAAACACAGGGGGGGCCATCTGCAGAGAGCACCTGCCAGGCTCCCTGCTGTGAGGCTCCCAGTACACAGCCTGGAGACCTCTCAAAGGAGCCTTTCTCCTACAACCAGATTAACAAATGATCCACACCAACAAGTTGTTGGCAGAGACCGTGCAGCAGCATGGGGGTGGGCTGAACCTAGCTGGGGACTTCAGCGAGGGCAGGTTGGGACGAGAGAGGAGCTTCATCACGTTCAGCTTCCTGAACTTCCTAGACTGAGGCACCTCCATTCTCTCAACCTTTGAGACAGGGTCTTACACCTTTCAGAGGCCCATAAAGAAATCTTTAAGGCCCACATTCCAATCCTGTCACCGGACTGGGTCTACGGCAGTTCTGGGAACAAGACCCTACATAGCCCACCAGACACTTTGATTTCATGAAACACACACTTTAGTGCATGGACACACTTTTTCACACAAAACAGTCCTGAAGACTTTTAAGACTAACAAAAAATTTCTATATAACTGCAAGCACACTGACATTTTCCTAAGGTTCTAACGTTACTGATTTAAAGCTGTTATCATTGAAAAACTTTCTATTGCACTTGTACTGAGATTTCTAGTCTGCTTCCCCCAGTGACAGTGTTAAAATGCAGCTGTTGCATCACAATGCAAAGTTATAGTTACAAGGTAAATTAAGTCAAAATGCCACATTTCCCCACATTACTTGAAAGGCCTCCCTGGTGTTCAGCGTGGCCGGTAAATTTAACAAACAAAACCACTCCGCACAGTCTGGTGGCATTAAAGTTCAGCATCCTCAGATCACAATGTCCTGCTTGACCGCTGTCATGCAAAATAAGGACAAAAAGGCCTCGAAGACAAGAAATTTAACTAATGCTATGGTTGTTCTCAAACTAAAAAATAATTCCCCTTTCAATTCCGGCATTAAAAAAAAAAGTCTTTGTCTAGGCCACCACCTAAAAGTGGTGAAGAGTACCCAGGGTTCTGATGACACAATTTCTTCAAGAAAAGCAGGTCTCCCAGCCAGGAGGCCACCTGCAGGCCCAGGGCAGGACGCCCCCTGCAAGCGCGGCCCGGGCGCAGCAGCTGTTGGCCTCACTGAGCCAAAACACGCAGCGGGTCTTAGAGCACGAGTTATTCCAGGGACTCAACACTAAATTAAGAGCAGATTTCGCAAAAACGAAAAAAATCCCTGATCAAAAACGTTTTCATGACTTCGAGATTGGCTCCCAGGTCTTCAAACTCTGGTGAAAACCGCGTCGGGCGCGGTCCCTCCGCTTTCCGCCCGGCCTCGCAGAGGGCACAGGGCCGGGAACAAGGCTCGGCTCCCCCGCCTGACTCCCGGATGAGCGGCTGCTGGAGGGGGGCTGACCAGCGGTGGGAGCCAGAGGCTGAGTGCGCGCGCGCGTGCGGAGCGAGCGTGCGGGAAGTGTGTGTGTGTGCGGGGGGCACAGAGGGCCCTCCCCGCGCCCAGGCGCCATCGCCGGCGGGTGCGCTGCCGCCCGCGATGCGTGTCCAGGCCTCCTCGGCCCTCTCCGCCGCCCTCCCCCCGGCTGCACCCTCGGGGCCGGGACTGTCCGGGAACAAAGCCCGGCCGGGGCGGGCCCGCGCGTCGTACCTGCGTGGAGCAGCCCGAGGCTTAGCAGCAGCAGCAGCAGCAGCTCCG